AAAACAAAATTTTAGAAAAAAATAAGATTGTTTTATCATCGACTAAAATTTATATTTTTGGCAGAAACAATAATGTTGACGGAAACTACTGTTTAAGAAAAAAAAAAAAAAATGAACGCAGGATTAATTGAAGTATATAAATACATTCAACTAATTCTTCTCAAAAAGTTCAAAAATATCGTCGTAATTTTTCTGCACGATATATTTCAAGTCAGCAACAACAAACAAAAAAACGTTAATTTGGACTAAAACTAGAATAACCCTTCAAAACAAAAGTTTCCTTTGTACCACTGAAGCACTTGAATTCAATTATTGCTATGCTATAGTGATCCGATTTGAACAATTTGTTCGGAAATTGTACCAACAGACAGACTGTCATGGCCAAATCTATTCAGCTCGTCGCACTGATCATTTGTGGTATACATACATAAGTATATGTTTTTTTGGGTCTTCGACGTTTCCTTCAGGGAAACTTCAGACTTCGTGTAGAATTAAATATAGCATCTTCGGGCTATAAAAATTATTATAATAACTGGTATAAAACACAGCAAATAACAAAAATCATATAATAAATATGATTTATGCCAGTTGTGTGCTCGATTCGCGTTTGAATCATCGTAATGCTCTTCGTTGAACAGTAGTCGAAATCATACATTAAAAAACTTTGTTTTTTTCCCAAAATAAATTCGTTAATTGCTATTCGCTACTGTCAAAGTACACAAATATGCATGTATGTAGTTATATTACTTTAGAAAATGTAATCGAGGAACAACGGTTGCACAGGAAAAAAAAATTAGGAGAGTTCAGGATATTGGAAAACAATTTTTAATTAGAATTTGCCGGCTACAAATACAAAGTTTCGATAAGTCAAAAATAATATTAATATAGTTTTATGCAAATTATAGGCATTATTTACTTTGAAAACTTATCTAGACTGCTAAATATTACATAATGTTTATATTTCCTGAAAAGAGTTAGTCGAATTACATAATTCATAAAAAAAAAATCTTAAATAATGATAAAGTAATGGTCATATCAGGTATACATAACTTCACACGCTTTGTTTGACAATACAGCAGGAGAAAGCAAAGTGTCTGTCAAAGTGCAGAAATGCTTTCCGTGCTTCTCTCCCATAGAAATGGCTACTCTTGCTTGGCGCTTGGAAATTCGTATAAAGATGAGTTTACCCAACTTTTCTCTAAGCTCTGCTTTGCCTTGATATGCACGAAATCAAATAAAAGCATGTAACAAACGCATCTGTCAAAGCAAACGTTTGATAACTAGCATAGCAAATATTAGACGTCAAGCGCTGCAAAAGTTGTTTGTGAATCAGCCATAATACCTGGCTTGTAGCACGTTCTCGCCTTCTTTTGTATGCAATCCTAACAGTTTGTAGCCATAATTGGACCATATATAACAGTTGTATATGTACTCTCCCACTCCTTTAATGCTATTCCTGTGTGGCTATTTCACTGCTTATTTATTCCTATGATTTCCTACGCGCCAATATCTCAACAAATCCGATTTATTTTTCCTTTTTGCATTTTGCACAATGCGATAATGCAATATATGGTGAATAATCAAAGAAATATCATAAACCAAATTTATCTTAATTGTTATAGAACTGTAACTGTACAATGCATTTATAATTTTTTGTTGTTGTAATTTTTTCATTCATTGCTTCGGATACATTTTGTATATATGTATGTATGTATATACATATACTAGACTTTAGAATATTCGTTTGCAACACAAATTTAGCAAATTTTTGAAATAAAATGCAAGCCATTTTCAATTTTCGTTTAGTGGAACCCAGTGCTGGCTGGACAGCCTGCTTTCAATAATAATTTTGTTTACTACTTCGTTCCTTTTTTTTTTTGAAATATATTTCCTGCTATAAATACACAGTTGAGTGAAGTTCGGTTTCTATTAGAATAGTGATTTTATGCAAAACTTTGAACTTAAGCGGAAAAGTAGTACAAATTTCGAAAAAAATTTAATAGCGAAGTACATAAAGTCGCTTACAGTTATATATAAATGTACAGTGGCAACAATTTCAGTTACTTTTCGAATATTTTATAATAAATATACGCTCTTACACAAACTTCAATAAGCGAACTGCACTAAAAGCAAACACTATAAAACTGCTCATGACTTGACCTTGACAAAAGATATAACTTTCTAGAATTTAGTCTACTCCCATGCATACATGGCATAATTCAATGCCTATTGCTAAAAGCAAGAACTCAAAAACAAATACGGTTGCAATCAGCTGTTGACAGACAGGAGACCAACCAAATGGGTGGGGTGGTGGGTAAGCGGAAAATAATATTGAATTGAGAAGTGTCGATTGGCTTTTGTTTTGGTGCATTTAAGTGTCAGTGGCTTTTGTGTCCATTTTTAGCGCCTGCAAGCGTTTCTCACAGTATAAACTGCCGATAGGCTTCGCCAGCGACGCCGCCAAACTCTTAGTTATTGTTAGTGTATTAACGCTACTCGTCGTGCTCGTTGTTGGCTGATTACACGCAGCAACATTGTGTTTAGCGAGCGATGGATCAATCGCAGCGACCCCAACGGCAGCGTTACTGTTGTTACTAATTGTAGTGGTAGTGGTTGTGGTGGTGCCGAGCGTCGTTTCACTGCTGCCGTCATCTGTGTGGATGTATTGCATTTGTGGCGTAATGCCTGCTGTGTATGATTGCCGCATGATGGGCAGGCGATAGTGGAAATTGGCGTTGCTGCTGCTGCTAGTTGTTGTCGACGTGGTTCCCGTGTTTGTTGTTGTTAGTGAATTTGGCGTTTGCTTTGTTGCGCCCACAGTGAACGGTCCGCCATTTGCGTCAACACCTTGCGTACAGCTGCTACGCCGCAGAATTGCGCCATCAATGTGGGTGGTGGTAGTGGGGGCGGCGGASGTTTTGGCAGCGGCAGCGGCGGCGGCGGCGGCAACAGCACTTTCCGTTTTCCAATTTGCACTATTGCGGCTACGATCTGTAATGGGAAATTTATTTTTCGTACAACTCAAGTCCAATTCAAGCGTATAAAAACGGCCGCGTGTATACTTTTTATTTTGGTTTTCTAATATGCTCGCTGCTCCGCCTGTGTTGTTGGCGCCACCGACGCCGACGCCGACGCCACAACTGCTGATGCCCGTGCTTGTGCTCGTGCCGACGCTACCGCTGCTCACGCTCGTACTCATATTCGCATTCAAATTCGTGCTGCTACAACTCGTATTCACGTTAGCATTCGCATTGTTGTTATTGTTGTTGTTGATGTTGCTATTGCTATTGCTGCTTATACTAATGCGCTCGATCATATTGTTGTCCGAAAATCCGCTGGCCATCGTCGGTTGTCGCGATATCGTACAAATACTGCTCCGATTGCTGCTGTTCGTCGTTTGTTCGCTGCTGCAATTACTGCTGCTTATTGTCGGCTGACTGGAGGCGGTGTTTGTACCGGTCGTATTGCATGAAAACGCTGCCGTCGTCGACGAGGCAGGCGTGATGGAGCACCTTTGTATCGCAATGCCGTCCACTTCGTCCACGTCGTCGTTGGTCAGCACGGACGGTGCCGCAATCCACTGCGTCGAACGATTCGTGTCTTCATAATCGCTTTCATCGCTGTCGGAGGTGATACGCAACTCATTGCGCATTTCGCGTCCCAACGACGAAGTGACACTCACCGAGGCGGATGTGTTGTGGCGCGTTTTAGCTTTCGCACGCGCATCCAATTTGTCCTCACGATTATTATCACCTTTTAATTTCGTTTTCACATTTAGTTCAGCCTTTGTTGTACCATCCTGCAGCAAGTTTTCACAGCTGGTCTCGTAAACACTAGCCAGCGGTTGTAGCTTGCCGCTGAGATGCGCTACCGCCTTGTGCGTCGCCATATAGCCCAAGCCAGCTATGCTTTGTGTTGTTAATACCTTCGTAGTGCCGCTGCTTACTTCCGCACCAATACCACCAGCAATAGCGCCCAATGCAGCGGACGCACCACTCTTACCTTTGGTTGCGCGCGAGCTACCGCTCAGCTCATGCAAGCGCTCCACTTCATTGCGGTCACGCTCGAAATCCATATATTTCTCCTTCTTCGATAGAATATCGGAGGGCTCCGCATAGAACGAGTCGAAATTCAGGTCAAGAAATAGTTCCTGTAGAAATCGACGCGCATTCATGCGATAACTGCTGCGCCCCAGCGTTTTGCACACCTCGGAATAGAGGCAAATATCTTGGAAGGCCGCCGGATGCTTCTGCTTCAGCTCCAGCAGTGCCTTCTTCGTCAGCCGCGCACTGACCGGGTTGGCCAGACGTTGCACGTTGAACAATATGTTGGCGGTGAGGCGATCAGGCATGCTCTCCTCGCTCAGTATGCTTTCCGGCGAGTTGAATGAGATGTCCGACAGCTGTATAGTGGAGGAGCTTTGCGTGTTTTGCTGCGGCGCTTGTGTCTTCGTACTCGACTGTTGTATGCTTGGCAGTTGTTGTGCGGCTGGTGGCTGTTTGTTGGTCTTACGCGCAACGTGTGTAGTTGTTGTGGCACCAACTAGTGTACCACTGCTGGTATAAAGTTCACCGCCTGTGATGAGTGCGGCACCGGCGGCGGCGGCGTCACTCTCCAGGCGCTGTGTATGTGTGCGATTACGTCGTGCACGTGAACAATGGAGGCAATTGTTGCGTCCGTGCTTGGCGCCCAGCCATTTCGAACGCTTACTCACCGACGACACGTCCGAGAGCGACGATATAACCGAAGATTCATCGCCGCATTCATTGTTCAAAGAATCGTTAAGGAACTGTTGATTCGCCGTAAGCAAATTTATATCCATCAAATCCTGATCTTGTATGTCGCGTGAGACGTAGGTGCGTCCCACATTGCGGGTAGGGAAGAGATCAAGCAGATTTTTCGGAAGACAAATACCTGTAAGTAAGAGGAGCAATTAACCTTGGCATTCCATATAACAATATAAATGAAAAAAATTACTAAATATAATAAAAAGAAGTGGAAACATTAGCGTGGTTATACATATACAGACTGACAGACGGACATGGCAAACGCCCTTCACCTTGTTACGATACACAACCCAAAAAACCTTCAATACTTGTTGATATTCTAAATAATACAACCATTTCTCACCAGATTGTCCTGTCTATTTCAGCATGAGCCAGTGCGATGCGTCTGAAAATTCCCTTTCATTTGACACCAAAATCATGAAAATAGCTTCAGATTTGCCCGATTTATTCCGATTCAAAGTCATTTTGTTTCTCATACTCTGCTCTGCTCGTGTGGGCAGCGCTGCTGTGGATCTGTGATTTTTGCAATTTACAAAATCGCCGATTTCCACCAGGCGACCATAAAAGAGCAGCAGGTGGATGCCAGAAAAAAGTGGCTGGTGCATGTAGATATGTATGCACATGGATGTAGATATGTAAGCATGTATGTATGTATGCACGTATGTTTGCGGCCGACCAGCAGGTATGTACGTATGCATGTGGGCCAACGGATGTGACCCGAGAGGATGTGTACAAACCGGAACCGGAAACTCAACAGGTACCAACTTCAACCGGATACAAATTTCCGGAAACGGAAGTAGCCAACCGGAAACGGACCTTACTAACCGGAAGTTGTGGTAAACGGATGTATAATTTCAGCAAGTAGGAAGTAGATATACCGGTCACCTTCTAAACGACATGAGCATCCGGCCGATCACTGTGCATGTGATGTATAATTTCAGCAAGTAGGAAGTAGATATACCGGTCACCTTCTAAACGACATGAGCATCCGGCCGATCACTTCCTTTGGACACCTTCGTTTCCGGGAATTCATATCCTGCTGAAGTTGGTTCGGGGCATACTTCCGGTTCCGGTTGGCTTCTTCCGTTTCCGGTCGGCTGCTTCCGTTTCCGGAAATTTATATCCGGTTGAAGTTGGTACCTGTTGAGTTTCCGGTTCCGGTTTGTACACATCCTCTCGGGTCACATCCGTTGGCCCACATGCATACATACATACCTGCTGGTCGGCCGCATACATATGTGCATACATACATACAGGCTTACATATCTACATCCATGTGCATACATATCTACATGTACCAGGCACTTTTTTTTGGCATCCACTTGCTGCTCATTTATGGGCGCCTGGTAGAAATCGGCAATTTTGTGATTTATAAAAATCACAGATCCACAGCAGCGCTGCCCACATGAGCAGAGCAGAGCATTTGCTTGGTATAAGAAACAAGAGGACTTTGAATGGGAATAACTTGGGTAAATCTGAACCGATTTTGATGATTTTGGTATCAAACGAAAGGGAATTTGCAAGGCAATCACACTGGCTCATGCTGAAATTGGTAACAAATAACCGGTAATAAAAAAAAGTCGATTGAAGTAAACTAGTACACTCGTTTAATGTGAGCCAATTCTCAGCTTAACTTAACTTTGCTTTTAGAGCGACATGCAAACCAATTTTCAGTATTTAAGGTTAGAGAAAGTCCTTTCCACCGCGTGTATGAAACTACGCAAGTGAAAGTAAGTGGTATTCCTCTGAATTACTTGAAACTGTTTTATGAATTTACAAAACCAAAAACACCGCCAAGAAGGTTATACGAAATTGACTCAGATGAATGCCGAGAAATACTTTTTTAATAAATATATAAAAATATAAATTTTTTTGATACTTAATCTACTCGTTTCTCGAGTAACTATATCTAAAATAAATATTGACAATAATTAAAAATCGCCAATGTTTCTTTTACCTGCATAGCAAGGGCCCTTCAAATCGTTTTGTGCTAGAAACTTTGGTGCCGCCAGTGTTGGCAACGGTACCTGCTGCAATTCCTCAAAGTCCAAGCGCCTGAAAGTATATACAAACGTAGTAAATAAAAATATTTGATGTCAATTCCAAATATAAATTACGGTATGCGCAGCGAAGATTGCCGATCCAAGCTGCGCACTTTCATGCGACGCTGCGACTCGCCAAAGGAAGATTTGCGTGGCCGCATCACCGACGAACCGAGTGAGAGAAACTCAATGCGATCGATAATGTCGTAAACGTCTGTCGCCGACTCGGAGACCATTGGTCGGCAGTACTTTCGCAATGAACGTAGCTGCGCATAACCTTTTATATCCGCCGGACTGAGTGAGGTATTCAGATATGAAGCACCAACCAAGGAGGTGCCACGCAGTATTAGACTTCTTTGCGGTTGCACATCCACCACCAGATTCGACATGCTCGGTATAGGACTCAACGGAAATTGCTGGAAATCGCTGCAAAATGGTACATTACATTCATATAGTGTTAACTTTTTAAAAATGTATTGAAAAAAACTTTGCAAACAAGCGCTCACCCCACATTCTGTATACGCATGGTCACCGACTCACAACTGCTCACACCCGATGTATTCGAATCGGTGCACGAGTTGTAACGTATGCGATGCGCCGGATGTTGCACGCCCATAGCGCCAATGGCCGTGCCGCTTATTAGGCTGATCACATCCGTAGTTTTCGACTCCGACAACGAACGCTGATGTTTGCTATGGCGCATGTATGTGCTCTCCGGTAGAGTTTTCGATTTGGCGCTAACCGTTTGCTGCAGCGTCGGCTGGTGTTGCGGTTGCGGTCTGTCTCTTATACACATCTAGATGTGTATAAGAGACAGCATCCGTAGTTTTCGACTCCGACAACGAACGCTGATGTTTGCTATGGCGCATGTATGTGCTCTCCGGTAGAGTTTTCGATTTGGCGCTAACCGTTTGCTGCAGCGTCGGCTGGTGTTGCGGTTGCGGTTGCGGTGGCTTCGTCGTGGCAATATCATCGCACGTCCTACTGCTGTCCGCGGTGGTATTAGCATCTGGCGCTTCGGAGCTAGCGCTGGCGGCGCCGCCATCATGGCCCGTCGTACTGCTGCTGCTCAAGAGCAAATTCCAATAGCTACCCGTATATGAGCCATCGATTTGATCATCAATGCCGGTGTAATTGTACGGTGGCATGTCTTCGTAATGATGCCGCACCGGCGTGTAGTTATTCGACATCCAATCCTCCGGCTGATGCACTGGCCAAACTGTGTTGCGATCGTGCCGCACACTCAACCAATCTGTATAGGAGGGTGTGTGGCACAATTAGTAAATTCAAAGAAATGTGTATATTTGATACAAAATGGCGAAAGTACATACTTAGCTTGTAGAGTATATTAGCACCATCGTTTGTACCGCCAATCAGACCCAGCACATTGAAGCAAGTCGATCGTATTGAGTATACGACACATTTTGTGGCCAGTATAACCAATTTCTCGTAGATTCTGTAATGGGAGAAACAAAATTTATTAAAGAAAGAAATTATAGTGCTAAAAATGATGGTGCCGGAAACCAAACTAAAGAATATAACACCTCTAAAATGTTGTCCTAAATTTTCAAGTTGATCCGCATAATAGTTTCGGAGATACAGCGTTGAAAACTTGTGCACTTTGTCCCACTATTATTGTCACTCAAATCTTTAAACGCGTTTTCCTCACAACTATCTTTTTGAAATCGGTTGGCAAGATTTCTCGAGAACTGCTCATCAACCGATCTTCATGAAATTTTACACAGCTCTTACAATAATACAATTCTTAAAGACAGATTGGATAAAAGATTTTTTCGATGACAATTACAGAGTTTGTCCGGAAAGTAATATCACTGAATCGATTTAAAAAAAATTATTGAACCAATCGTTACAATTCATTAAAAACTCTCAAAATAGGCTCTTTCTGCGTCGATGCAGCGCTGCCAGCGCGATTTCCAAGCCTTGAAGGCGTCACGGAAGGTATTCTACGGAATAGCCTTGCGAGCCAAGGTGCATGCTGCTGGAATCCACTCCGTCATCTCAAAATGCTTTCATGGGACTTCCGATTGACTCTTCGTTATAGTCTCTTGAGGACGTCCACGTAAAACTTGGCGTTGACGGTTTGTCCAGGAGAAACAAATTCATGGTGGACGATGCCTTTGATGTTAAAGAAGACAATGAGCATCGTTTTTACTTTCGATTTGCTCATTCTTCAGGTCTCCATCAGCGATCTCTTCCCGGCCTTGCAAAAAGGCCTGGTGCCACCGAAACACATCCTATTACTTTTCGGACAAACCATGCATTTGAAAAATTAAAAGTCGCAAAATTTTCACTGAAATTTTTAGTTTTTTATAAAAAATGTCTGGCAAAACTCCAATTTTCAGTTTTTTTCTACGTCCAAGTTCTAAGTTAAGGTTTTAACTAAAACACGTATTTTTTCCCCTTTTAGATGATCCTATAAGGAGTTGTTCTGCCAACGCGGGCTCATATTTTTTCCAAGGAGTCACCAGTAATGGTGTCGCATTGGCCGAGTTTAAAATATATATATTTTTTTTTTCAAAAATTTCAGAATTTTTTGTTAATAGTGTATGTTTGTAGCAATAAAAACTCTAATAAAATATTAAATTTTTTATATGAGCAACAAAATTGTTGAAAACAGGCTTTTTTTACCCGAGGATACCCATGTAACGCCTTAAGTCTTTGCTCACATTTTTTTAATTTTGTAAATATATAATGTTTTCAGACTTACCTCGATCCCGATTCTACGAAATATTCAATTCCATTCGAGTGCGTCGATGCGTGCCCAACGGCCCAAATGGCCGACTTCAATTCCAGACACTCGGCATCATCCGTGCACTTGCCACGACTAATCACGTCAACCAAATGCGGTAAATCGCCATATTTTCGCAATGCCGTTGTACCCTGAGCCGTTTGTACCATTTGCCCGTAGAGATGAGGTGGAATATTTGGAGGAATTATAATCGGTCGGGTATTGCAATTACGACGACTATAGTGCCCATCTTCATTACGTATGTGCAATGTTAAACTGGAATGTGTATTAGCCTCGACAAGCAGGACATAGCTTTACAAGTACAAACACAGTTATTATTATTTAACATTTCTTTTCTTCAGAATTCAGAAGCATTTAACGCTCACCGTTTATTATAGCCGCTCTTCCAGTACTCAATCTCTTCTTGTATGCGCGCTTGCAAACGATTCAAACCACGCGACAGTGAATAATAACGCGCCATTATTAAGCGTCCACCATCGCCAAGTGCCTTTAGATCCGGCCATAAGCTAACAATCTCCTCGAGATAATACTAAGAATATTGAAGAATTTAATTATTAGACTTTTGGCAAAAGAAACAAGCGATGTGACGCACCTTTTCGTGACAAGCCTCTTCAAGCACATCCAATGCCGCCAAAACGACACTACGGTCGGGATCTTTCGTCTGCTGTATGATCAGTGGGATACCCCAGACCTCGAAGTTGTGCAGACGCGCACGTAGCAGCACGGTCAAAAATTGTGTGGCATACAAGCGACCACTACGCACTTTGGCCGCAGTTAAAGCCTTCTCCAGCACCTTACGTGTCACCGATTCTAACGAGTAATCTAGAGCGGAGACAGCTAGCTTCACATAGCACACATGATCCGTATTGCGCACCAAATTTATCAAGCTACAATTGGGAGATGGAAAATTAATTATAAAATTTCATTGACAGCGTGTAGCGTTACTTACTGCTCAAACACAGCCGTGTCGGTCAGTATACGAATACCATTTTGTGCGCGACACATGCGGCCAATGTATAAAAAATACTGCTGACACATTGTACTACTCATGTGTTGTGGACTAAAGAGGCAGTCGTGTGCACGATTTGATGTGCTCACCGCCAGCAATTGTTTGCTGATGTCCGAAAAGTAATCGGTGAGTATGCGTATGCTCTCCATCTGTGGTGGAAAAAGATGAATACGTAAAAATTACAGCTTTCAATGATTGCATAAATAGATTTAAAAAAACATTTTAAAATTAATAGAAAATATAAATAAAATATATATATACAAAAAAAAAATATATAAAAAAATTAAAAAAAAAAGAAATAAATTTAAAAAAAATAAAATAAATTAAAAAAAAATTAAATCAATTTAAAAGAATTAAAAAAAGAAAAAATAAATAGAGAGAGAAATGAAATAGAGAAAAAATAAATAAAAGAATTACACAAAAAATATATACAGAAAACTATAATAAAAAAGAGTAAAATATAATTTAAAAAAACCAGAAAAATTGCATAAAAACCAAAAAACGGAAACTGTTTCGTTAATTCTTAACAAGGAAACGCTCGGTCACGACGGTGACGGATGATAGGGAGTTGGATGAGTTAGGTTTACCGGCCATGCAAAGAGGTAAATAGAAAAATGCGAGAACTCATTGCTCGCTGGATATATATCTGATATGTTAAGGTCTATTATGGATAAGTAGGAGTTCAACTGGCTACAGTATGCAGAACGAAGTTGGGCAAGGGTCACTCTATATTTTGGGGGCAACTCGAGCTCTTTTCCTGCAATCGGTTGTTGTTGTAGTAGCAGAATTCTGCCGAATTCAAGGACTGCGATAAAAAAAATCTAGGTCCATTCCGACTGTCGTGAGCAATGATTGTTTTTGATCGATCAGTATGTATTTCATTGTCTTGTACAACAATCCATGATATATATCGTGGATATATATTGACAAATGAAAACAAGGACTTAATATCGAACGAGTTGTTTGTATGACAGCTATATCATATAATGGTCCGATGTCGACGGTGCCGACAAATGAACAGCTCTTTAAGGAGAAAGAGGCGTGCACCAAATTTCAGATCAATATATGGATACATAATAATATGGACACATGAACATCACGAAATCGAGTCAGCTACTCAAGCTGACTATGTTATTGTTGTAATTGTTATCTATATCTACTCGGACTATAGTATACCCTGTTAATGGTATTAAAATAAAATAAATAAAAAATACCATCGGATTAGCCAACAGCCAATCAATGAAATCCAGGCCTGCAATAACGAACGCTGGCATAGTTCTTCCAGGTCGGCCCAAGTCTTGGTGAGAAAAGCGATTTTTACTAGGTTTGTAATAGTCCAAGAGCGATTTGAGGAAATTGTTGACCGTATCGTCGACTCTGCGCATTATGTTCGACTGCAAAATAAATTATTATCATAAAAATGTGTATTACAATGCCATTAGGAGCAGCTTACGCGCAATATGGTGATAATAATATCCCAGTCCCAACCACTATCGTCCGGCGACGACAATACATTCGAATCACGTATTAATTTAGCCACACGCTGATTTTCGAAGAACGGTAATAGTTTTCGCTTGAAACGGAAGCTTGCACGACGAGATGAGGATGGTTGCACGTTCGATTCATCGCTGGATGAGACCGAGTCGAGACGCTGCCGATCGCTGGTGAGCAGACCACCCCCAGCGGCAATACCCAGTGTACCGCCACTGGTCAAATGGCCGCCGACTGGCGGCGATTGCAATGCATTGCCACTAAACGAACGCGCATGATCCTGAGCGTTGATTTCACGACGAAACAGACGTGTTTGTATTAAGGCTGAAATGGTGGAAATTTTGAGTTGTGATGAGGGTAATTTTTACAGTCCACCATTAATATACTTACATCCCCCTTGTATAATACTATCCAAAAATAAACTACATGATGCAGGACGATTGCGTAGCATTTTTTGGTAATTTTGTAAAGCTGATATTGCGGCGGTGGCGTTTTGATTACCCTGAGTTGCGTGCGAAATTAGTGTCGGCAGTGCCGGGCTGGTGCTGCAGATATCCGCCGGTAAATGCGTATGCATCAAATGCAAGATTTTACCTACAAAAACAACAATATGTAAAAAAAAAATGAAAATTTCGGGACAGTCAGACATACCAACTAGCACAGTGGCACGCACCGACAGATGCGTATCGCTCGATCTGATCACCTCAACGAGTGCATTTAAGAGTCCAGTCTCTAGAAAACAGTATAACAGTAATGACAAATGTTGCTCGCAAACATTTGGCGCACGTGCGGCCAAACTTGGCAAGATAAAGCGTCCTTCCATTGCAACAAATCCATTGCTGAGCAACCAGGCATCCTGCAATGCAGTAAGTTGTGATGAAAATTCTCTACTTTTTATTTATTTTTTATTGTTTTATTACCTGAAAGTCTGACGGATCGACAGTCTGCAAGGCTATCGTGTAATCATCCGTCCAGGGCGGTTGTGGTACATTCAAAAGTTCGTAAAGCAAATCCAATATTGCTTTCTAAAATACAAAATTTCAATTTATTAAAATAAATAATCAAAATAATAAATATATAGCAATATATACCCGGAACACGGTAGTTACTAACTGAATCTAATTACTTACTCTCACTTCCATTTGATTCAGATACAGCGTATCCACTATTGCTTTCAACCCCGACGGTTTGCTGGGATTACAGAACTCAATTGTACCGGTCCAACTGCGCAAAACCGACAGCAATGCCAGGCGGCAACTAGTATAACGCAACTCACGGGCATCCCTAAAACAACAACAGGTATAGTAAAAATAATGAGTAAAAAATAAACTTTCATAAACAAGTCGGCGCTTACTTATTTTTGTTCATGATGCCCAAACGGTATGTGAAATCGCAATAGGGCGCCGCGAGGCAATCCAGCCGCACGCCCGATATGTTGCGCGTCTGCGGCCACTCCAGCAAATACAGCAGCACGCCGCACAGGCTCTCAGCGATACGTGGATTGTGACATTCTAGGACGTTGCGTGTAATTGCTGTGACGCCGCCGCAGACGATCAACAGCACAGGATTCAACACCGCGAACTCACATAGTGTGGCCAGGCAGGCGCGCAACATATTGTCGCCGTCTTCAATGCCGCTATCGGCGAGCGACACCAGGCAACGCACGAGCACAGGATTGATGTCGACCGGTGAAATGGCCAGCATCTTGCGAATCTGTAAATGAAATAAGAATTTGGTAAGAATTGATATTAATTTGATGAATTCATTTTGTAGGTACCCACCAATTTCAGTGCTTGCACACGTTCATCATCGTTCTTCAGTAGCACATCGATGGAGCGGCATACTAAATGTTGCAGCTGCATGGAGTTGAATATTTTGACATCACGTGGTGTCACCAGCACATAACGGATGGTGCGCAACGCGGCAGCACGCACTTGCGTAAATGTGTGAATAAGCGAGACGCTCAAACTAGAAAAGTGAAAATGCAAATAAATTTATTGCTAAAGTAATAATCAATCGGTGTAGATATATTATAATTAGCAAGATACGAAATGAAAAAAAAAAGATTACAATCAAGTCAAATAAAGATGTCATACTAGGACAATGGCAAATTGTCTTTCATTTTATATAAATAAGGAATCCAATCTTGAGGCATGTGACATCAATGGACTGAAATGAATCTCTAATCAACTATAATGCGCCGCCCTCTATAAAGAACGTTTCCGCTTTCGTGTTCTCTAAACAAAAGGAATTCGGGCGGTCTTTTCTCTGCCCATATACCAGCGAAGAAGTTGTGGGTGGGAAGAAGAGGAAGTTGGAAGAGAGGACCAATGAGCTTCTTTACGGATGAGTCAAAGCTTAGGCGGAAGGTTGCTCGAGGTGTTTACTGTCAAGACCTCTCTATGAACTCCAGCTTCAGACATCCTTACAATTATAGTATTTTCCAAGCAGAGGTTGCATTTATCAAGGTAGCAATACCACTGCTCCGGAGTGCATCCTCCTTCAGAGAAGTGACCATCCATTCAGATGGCAGGGCGGCGATACTAGCTTTGTTCTCATTAACAGTGCGTTAAGGTTTGGTCAATGAGTGCCTAGTCTCGCTAACGATAGCACCACATCTCTTTGTGATAACACTGGTATGGGTGCCAAGACACAGCAGAATCGCAGAAGATTGTAAAGCTGATAAGCTAGCAAGGAAAACACCCTAGAACCGCTAACAGTACAATAGGAGCGAGCACGCAAAATCCGTTTGACCCAACATCGATCGCAAGGTAGCCTCTCCCAAGCTATGGGAATCTTACCAGACACCTCTTCCAGAACCTGTAAGGAAGAATACGAGGTGGAAGCAACTCAACACTTTCTTCTTGATTGTCCCGCGTTTTGGAGGTCAAGCATGGGAGCGTATACCTTCAGACCTCCCACCGAACTGGCGAGAATTGAAATTAAGCGCCTGTGCAAATTTGTATTGGCTACTAAACGTTTTGCTAATTTATAAGTTCGAACACAGGAGTGCTTCTTTTTTATGGCTTCACAAACGACTACATACAGCAGTCCACGTGCGACCCTTCCAGATCAGCCAACTACCCTAACTTAACCAAACATATAAATGTCTCAAAAACGGACCGAAGTTATACAAATTTATAGTCCCACTATTATGCAACGTTTATAGAAAGTTTTAAAATAGTAGAGGATTGTAAAATATCCTCCTTCTTCATGCACTCTTAGGGCATTCGTGTAAAATATGAGGCGTGCCAAATGCAAACGACTTTAACAGGAGTCAGTCGGACTCTTGATCTTGTACTAAACCTGCCACCGGTCTGTTTTCGCTGAAAACTACGCAGTAAAAAAGAGAATTGGCGAAAAACACTAAATATTTATGCGGGTGGTTTGAATATGGGAGGTGTAGTGGGTGTGGGGATAATGCCCAGAGTTATGTATAAGACCGCATTTTAACTTTCCTGACCAATGCAGTCTATTTAAAGCATTTAGCGTATAATGTATCTGCAGGCAACTCCAGAGTCAACATCTACATAGACAGCCAAGCATTAGTCAAGGCAGAAACCTCGTATCGCTTACAGTCCAGAACTGTCTTGAGAAGCAGGGGAGAAGTGTGTCGCCTGGAACACGCGACTCCTCTTCTACTAACGAGATCGACAGTTGTAAATCCATGCATTATCATTACGGCAATCTAAACACGGCAAGGGAAGGTTAAAGTTCGATGGATGAACAACTGCAAAGAACACATGTAAAGCGGTAGATCAAAAATACACAAAGTTCCTTCTCAGTCTTGATAGAAGAGACTCTGGCAACATGATTGGAATTCTCACTAGTCACCGTCTGGTGGTGCACTTGCCTGCAGAATGGAGCTGACAGTTAGAGATGACTGCAGGAAATGCAAAGAGCAAGGCAGCAGGGAAACAATGAAGCATCTCTTGTGAACTTGTCCCGCATTGGCAAGGCTACGCTTTAACAACAAAAACTGGTGTATGCGTGGCTCACGAGCTTACCAGACTAACCTAACTTAGCTTTTTAGATAATTTGGCTTTGATTATAGTAGCCCTCAACAAGATATTACTCTGAAATCTTTCTCGTTAAATCTACTGTCCAGGTTCGGGAATCCCGATTTTGTGTTTTCATCATTTGGGGTAACCTTATTTTATTATGACAAAATAGTCTTCTGATAGTTATAGATCTCAACTCTTAGATATCATGTGGAAAGGACAAAATTTAAGCTGCCGTTTCTAATGGATTAATATTTTTGAATTTAGAATACAATTTAATACTGGAAAGGAAAGTGTCGCAGACGAGGTTGCAATTAATCTTTTTAGTTTACTATAGTCAGTCTAAAGACGAGTGTATATTTTCTGAACCATCTCTTTGAACTATCTACACGAGCCTACCTTTAGTCGTTTTACAAAATGATGTTTATTCCAAAAAAAAGCAAACCTGATAATAATGCCGAACGAATCAATTTGGAGTGTTTAAGGTGAGATATAAAAAAGCAACACTGATATTACAAATGTTCCAATATGTTCGAAAATAACAATGAAGGAAATGATGAAGGCGAGAGACTTTTAGATTAAATCGAAATAATACACGTCTACTTACCAATAGAGCAACTCTTCTGTGTTAAAGCCTAAATAATTTTTTGGATTATGTGCCTCCGTCTGCTGCTGTTTGCAAAGTGTTGCCAGACCGTTAAGCAAAAATAGGAGTTTTGTATCACTTGTGTTGCGGCAACACAGAGCTCTATAGATATCATAGGCATTTTCTATGTTATATTTACTGGGGTCCAGTCGATAGTAGTCTTCGTGATCTTGTGGAACTGGAAATAAAAAGAAACGTTGAAAATATGAAATTTGAATATGTTTTTTCTAATACTATTTAATAACTATGAGGAAGGGCAAATTTTAAGCAATAAATGCTATAGGAGCGATTGTGTATGTGGTATAGTAAGTTTTGATTTCTTACATTTATATTAATTATTTGTTATTTTTTNAACATGAGAAAATTTAATTCTGTTTCGAATTCTCATTTCAAATCCAAAATTAGTGCGAAAGAAGTGAAACGCAAAACGTTTTATTTTATTATTATTAATATCCGTCTTCCTCACGGTTCTCTTTCAAACCATTAATACCACAAACGTGACCGCAAAAATTTTATTTTTATTGCAAAAACTGGACGCTAAAAAGGGGGAAAAAAAGTACAGTTTTAGATTTGCTTACAACTAAGATACAGAAGATAATAACGGGTGATCCAAGTAGACGTACTTTTTCAATATCCTTTTTTGACAAATCACGCGCGTGAGTCGTCTCAAGTTCTGATTTCATTTTTGTTGCGTATTATTTGGCATTTCGTCATGAAAGGAATTACGAGTGAATAACGTTGAGAAATCGTTCAACTTTATTACGAAAGTTCACATTCTGTTAAGAATGTATTATTCACAACATCACCCATCTTGAGACCCAGCATTCATTATTGGATAATATTCGACCGAATGGACCACACGCTCAGCACGTAGTGAAGAAAATATAGCAGCCGTAGCTGAAAGTGTACACGAAGGCCTTGGAGGGTATATCGATCTTCCCAAGCGACATCTCTTCGTTCTAAAAAAAAACAATTTAGAGCGAAATTTTGTTCAGCGATGAGGCCCATTTCTGTATCAATGGGTATGGGTAAAATTGCTGGATTTGCGACGAAGAGCAACCGGAAGAGATTCAAGAGCTGCCATTTCATCCACAAACAACGGCATGGTGTGGTTTTTGGTCCGGTAGAATCATCGGTCTATATTTCTTCAAAAATGATGCCGATGAGAATATAACCGTGAATGCTGACCGCTATCGCGCCATGATAACCGACTATTTGGTGACTGAAATTGAAGCTCATGATCTCGGCGTCATTTGGTTTTAATAAGAGGCACCCACTTCCCACATATCGCATCAATCAATGGATTTATTCAGAGAACACTTCGGTGAGCAGATAATTTCACGATTTGAATTCAGATAACTCTTAAGTGGACCTTATTATCGTACGCCTATAACCACTAGCCACACTAACGCATGTTTAAAACAAAGCTTTAAAATGTTTTCTTCCCTAATATGTGAGTAAGACAACCGTAAGAGATTGAAATGTCATTAAACTATCAAATTACCCAGAAACAAGTTGAAATTCAAAAGGACTCGGAGGTGTGAAAGTTAATAAACACCAATGAACAACTTAACTTGAATTTCTTCGGGGCGTTGAACGTGAAGGGAAATTTAATACGGCACTAACCTACGACACGCATGACACTCTTTCTGCACCGCATTATACTCGTATTTAAGTATTTACAAGCTATGATTATCGAAGAAAAAAATAATAATCAAGAAAAGGGTTGAAAGAAAGAACGTCCCTTCGCTGTTTACGCAACCGCCGACAAACACCTCCATCGCCACACACGCACGCAAGCTCATATGTTCGTATGTGTATGTGTGGAGTTGCGTGTGAATATATATATACGTGTGTGTGTGAGAAATGCATTCATACACTCGTGCATATCTGGGTTAAGCGTTTATGACGAGACAACAATAAATTCACCAACCACGCACTGCAATCAGCTTTGTCTACGCACTTGTGAGCTGCACTTAACAAAAAAAAAAAACAAAAAATCAACAACAAAATGAGAGTAGGTTTCGCAAGTTAAGAAAAAAAGGAAGTGCGCGTCCACATTGAGGACAGCTGGAGCTGCAAGTGTACATGTCTGTCGCAGCGGCTGAGGATAAAATTTCATTTTCTGAATGGATATCGAGACGCTAGTGAAATGCAACAACACGTAAGTGCGAGTACAGTTATGAACAAAATAATAGCGGATATATTTTGTGATGAAAATTCGAATAGATAATTTCAATGAACACACTAAAAACTATTAAAATTTGCAGGGAATAATATTTAATAAAATATTTTCAGATCGATGTTTGGCGCGAATTGGGGATTCCAAGTGCAGTGTTTCCAGTCTTCCTCTGCTTGCTCCTGCGGACTGCGTCGAATACTCGCAGAGCTGGAGTGTTTTCTGTCATTTGGACGGAATGACCTAGCCAGCGTAGCCGCTGTCTCTTTCTTCGTTGAACTATATCAATGTCGTCATGCCATCGATTGCGACATTCGCCGTTGCCAATGTACAATGAACCATAAAACTTCCGCAGAACCTTTCTCTCGAAAACTTATAACGTGCCATCGTCCATGCCCATATAGCCGGATGGGGATGATGAGCGACTAGAAGAATTTGGTCTTTGTTCGTCAAGGGAGGATTTTACATTTCAATGGGTCCATATTTCTTCAAAAATGAAACCGACCATACTTTTAAACGTTAATGGGGAACGCTACCGAGCCATGAGTAATTATTGTTTTTTGTGCAAAAATTGGAGGATGTTGATGCCAACGACCCTTGATTCCAGCAAGACGACGTCACACACCAGATGGCCAACGAAATAATACATTTATTGAACGAAACTTTCGGTGAACGCATAATCTCGCGTCGTGTCTGTGGGGTGTCCTACAAGATCGTGCGATTTAACACCACTCGACTATTTCTGTGGAGTTACGTGAATTCGCTTATCTGCGCAGTTAAGCGGGAGAAAATTGACGACTTGGAAGAGAACAATCGGCGCGTTATTGCTATCAGACTGCCGCGCAAATACTGCAAAAAGTGTTAAAAAATTGGGCCTCTCGGCTGTAATTACTTCCCGCTAAGACCGGTGACCACTTATCTTTATAATAAAACTTAATTCTTGGACATGTATTAAATTATATGTCCCCTATTTCTTCTTCAAAACCACCATTAATCTGGTTTGGTATCATTTCCGACTTATGTGGTTAAAATCAGAAATTTATGGAAATCATTATTTTAGGTATATAGGGGCATAGACAATATCTGAGCGGACTTTATACATTTCCGGCAATAAAAACATTGTGATCAAGAGAACATGTTGAATTAATTTTATTAAAATATCACATATATTGACGAATACATACGGTCAGTTATACTCCAAATTTGACCATTTTCAAAAGAGTAGTGTCTATTTTCAAACACGATTTCTTCACGAAGTATTATATGTATGAGATTGCAACTGATAATGGACGAATAGACCACGTCCAGCACACAGTGAAGAAAATATAGCTGAGAGTGTACACGTGTACCGTGGATAATCGATTCGGCGCCGTTCGCTTCAACTCGGACTGACATATGATGCGATTTGACGCATTTTAAGACGATAACAATACTATCTTCAAAAAATAAATGTCAAAGAATGTTCTTTCGAATGTTAATAAACGTTCCCCATCAAAGTTAAAGTTTCTGTGTTTTTCCTTTAAAAAAGTAGGGAACCTCGAAATGGATCTCTCCAACATAAGCCTACGAACTTCTACGGCACTAATGCAAAGGTTTAAACCCTTCTTTGGATCTGCGCCTATCGAAGCAGTGGTTTGCTCGATATATGGTATCGACAATGAAACCATGAAGACAAGGAAAGTAATACCATTCGTAATAATGCCATTACTCACAAAATCTTTATTTCAAAAAACCAGGTAGCTAGGCTAGCGTTTTCAATATACTAAAGACATGAGAAACGAAGAAAGATAATTCGTGCGCTTACAATCGGGACAATGTATCATAATCCGCGTAAGAAACTGCGTGTAAATTGTTTTAAATTGCTATCACTTCTCGAAATCTGGTAGACGACGAATTTTTTCTGTCCTCAAATATAAAGGAAACAGTAGATGAAAAGGAATTCATTCATTACGATAAATATTCTTGATTGTCTAGAATGAATTATTTAATCCAGGGCCGCTTATAACGAGGAGAAAGAAAATCAACGAGCGGAGCCTGATAAAAGAGGAGCCAAGTTTTGAAGTAGGCGTGCTATTTTCAACTATGCTAACGGTAAGAGTTATGAAAACTTTTGTTTCATATTGATATCATATATATAAAATGGTTAGCTGCTTATATAGCAATTTCCATGCAAGCGCGGTTAGGAAAAACCCATCAATTTTTTTTTTTACTGATTAAATAAGCTTTAATCTCAACTAGATAGTATGCAACTTTTAGTGATTGTTTTTTAAAGACCTTGTGGTAGATACGAGGTGTTCAAAAAGTATCGCAAATTTTGTGTTTTTTTCAAAAATTATTTATTTATTCATGAATATCTATTTTGTCCCCTTCAAAGTAATCGCCATGAGATATTATATACTTGTGCCAACGGTTTTTCCAATCTTCGAAGCACTTCAAAAAATCATTTTTTTATCTTCTTCAGCTCCTCCTTCGATGCCG